ACTAAAAAATGTTAATGATACCCATGAAGGGTTTATGGTTAAACATGCTCTATGACTAGAGAAATAGTGAAATCCCCAAAAACCTGAAAATTTACAAACTAATGAAGCTTAGCTTATTCAGAAAAAAAAAAAGAACACAGAATAGAATTGGTGCCAATAAGACCAAGAAAAGTTGCATATTTGGTCGAGTTAGCTGGATTTTGGATAAATGCATCTTTATATACCTTTTAACCAGTCTAATAAACCGGGTTTTCGTTTATATCAATTTATAATATACATCCGGTTTAGTCGACTGAGTGTTCGGATATATGCAAGCTTAAAAATCTGTTTTGTCTTTTCTATAAACGGAGACACGAATTGAAAGAGAGCGCGCGCGACAAAATCGAGCGAAACCCTAATTTCGTGTTTTTCCCCCTTTCCGACGATCTGATGGTGAGCGACAAACAGGTCGAATTAAACCACCGCAAACATCGTCGGTCGTCTTCGCCGTCCGACGAGGTAGCTAAACCTTCGAAGCGGCACAAGCACCGTCATCACAAGCACCATAGTAGGCATCGTCACTGTCATCATCGCGATAAGAAGCATGATGAGGAAATTCGATACGGCGATGATGAGACAACGTCGGAAATTGTTTCTCCGTCATTGAAGGATGCTGCCGGAGTTGGTAACGGTGGTGAACCTGATATGGAGGAAGGGGAGATTTTAGGAGAAGAGGGGATTGGGGAGGTTATGAAGAAGAAATTAGAGTTGGAAGAAATCAAATCTGGTCAAATTCGCGACAATAATCTGGTCTGTTCTATTCGCCCTTTTACTTGTTTGCGATTGTTTCTGGTTTGCTAGCTTAACTTCTCTTCTTTACTTCTCTTTGTGATCAATGTGGGTTTATTGGAACTAGGGAAAGTCTAGAGATTGCTTTGTAGTTTGTGGTTTTGTGCTAATTATCAGTATCTAGAACGAATTTACTCCTTCTGATTTTCTCGTATAATAATGAAGTTCTTCGTCTGTGAGATTAGATAACCTGAGTGTCTCATGCATATGTAAAGAACGTGCTTACACTGCAAGAACATGAGTGAAATGCAAAAGCAGTTACACTAGGCGTTCAATGGAGACTGATGGCTTTCCCTTGATTTGTAAGAGCTGGTTATGCGCTTAACTTTCATATAAAATTGTTCTTTCCAGTTTTTATGTATGCTCATGCTTATCCATTATATGCTATATATCTATCTTGCGGCAGTCTTTTAATATGTTGCGGTGGTGATTGCAGCCTGTTCATGTAGGTTCTCTTCCTGATGATGGGCTTGCAAATGAAAGAGGTTTTGGAAAACATGTTCATCAGCCAAAAGAAGGGACTTTTCATGGTGGTTTGACTCATGAACCTGAAAGGGATGATAAATATCCTTCAGAGAAAATTGGTAAGACAAAAGACAAGAATGTCAGGAGCTCATATTCTTCCATGAACTCTGAAGATAAGCATAAGATTAGTACCCGTTCGCGCTCAAACACCAGTTACATTGCTGAGGAGAATGGGTCTGCTGTTAGAGGAAGACATCATGATTCTAGTTGGGATTATTGTCATGATACATTTGACTTGGGTAGGAAAGAGGACAAATACTATCAACGTGGACACTATAAGGAAGATGGTAGGCGCTTAAGTCGAGAGGTCTTGGAAAGAGAAAGGAGTACAGAGAGAGAGACGGACAGGGAGGGAACCAAGGACAAAGAACAAAGAGGAAGTAAGCATAGAGACAAAGATAGAGATTTGCGGAGGGAAAGAGAATGGGAGAAGAGACAAGAGATAGAGACTGAACGTGGAAGTAGAGATAGGAGGGGAGAGAGGGGAAGAGATTACCTAAGGGATAGAGACAATGACAGAGGTAGGAGTAGAGATAAATGCAGGTATAATAGCAGAGAGAGGGGGAGAGAGAATGAAAGAGAGAGACGGAGTGAAAAAGATAGGGATAATGGAAGAGAAATCCAGAGTGACAGGGAGAAGCATAAAAGTCTTGATGATGGATATGGGGAAGTGAGGCACAAACAGCCTGGACACTCAAGACATGAGGCAGAAGATGAGAGTTCAAATTCTGTAAAGGGCCATTATTCTAAGAATGGCAGTTCCAAAGAAGTTTGGAGCAATTCTGAAAGGTATTCTTCCCCCAAAAAACTTTGCCTGGAGAATGTTTTGGTTGGTTGTATATCTGCTACGCCTTTTACTATATTGTTTGATTGTCTTATCTATATTCGAGCAGGTCCAGAAATGATAATGATGATAACGCTGAAGTTGTTTGGGAGCCTGCTGAACAAGAAGATGAAGAGCTAAACAGAATCAAGGAAAGCAGGAAGAGAACACAAGCCATATTGGAGAAATATAAGAAAAAGTCAGAGCAGCAAAACATATCTTCTTCTCATGATAAGGGGAAAGGTAATTCTCAGTTCTCTTTAATGATCACCGCTCAGAGCAGCTCATGCATTATGATTTAGATTTGCTTATTTAGTATATGGGTATGGGTGTTGTCATCTCTTGATCGCTAGATTATTTGTTTAAACTTTCCCTTTTTCTAGTTTGTGTGTGTAGTTGTCACATTTCTTTTACATTGTGGTTCATATTAGTCTATATGAAAGTAGTTATTTAGTTCAGTTCTATTGCAGTGCTATCACTTATGAAAAATTTGAGCGTTTCCACTTAGTATCTGTGGATCGTAATTCGACAAGTAGAAAAGTCATTAGATTTTGTTAATTGTGTCATAAAAAGTGTCATTCTTCCTGACACACCCTCCCACATCTACTAATACAAACGTTTTCTGATTCCAGATCTTGATCCAGCAGACATTCTCAAACAGTTCTCTACTGTTGCAGATGTTCTTGGAAGTGGTACTCGAGGGTCTGTTGCCTCAGCAGTTAATGAAGCTAAAGCTGGGCTTGATAATGATGCCATAGATGGTGATGTCACCAAACTATCATTGATAGTTGGGGAATCACCTGCACGACTTGTAATTTCAGTCTCAGATAGGACATTAGATTCTGCAGGACTCGGGGAAGGCACTCCAAAGGTTCGTTTGCAAACGAATTTTTCTTATATATTTGTTACATTTGGTCGTATTTGGTTGAGTAATTTTTTGTTTCTTGTACCTTAGAATTTGTTTTACAAATTTTGTTTTCCTCGATCTTATATAGTATGTTATATTTCCAGAGTGAAAGATCAGATGACATGTTCAGTGATGATATTTTTGGGGAGTCTCCGGCTGGTACGCGGAAAATGGTATGTAATCCACTCAATTTCTTGACCTTGTCCTAATAGTTTTCTAAAGCTACTTTTATCTGCTTCTATTTCGCCGCATAACATCTATATAATAATCAAGAAATAGACATCCTAATGCTCACCACATTTTTTTCTTTCGTTTCCTATACGCATATCTATCCTGATTTGGTAGTACTTCATTGATTTCTGTACCACCATTTAACTGTTCCTTTGTACTCTTGAAACTTCTTTCTGGATCCTCAGTACCCTTTCATTCTGACGGGTGTTTGGTAAGAATATTCGTCTGTTGGCTAATGAAAATTTAATGTAATCTTTTAAATTCATGTTATACTGCTTTTCTTTCAGGGCAATCTGCGAGGGAAAGGGAATGGCCTTCCTATTGTTAGGAGTGGACTCCATGATAATTGGGATGATGCAGAGGGTTATTACAGTAAGTGTTTTCTCTCTGTATGATCTACATTCAAATTTTAACTCGCAAAGGCCTTTTAATATATGTCATCTTAAAAAATAAAGGATCTTCTCTTTATTATAGGTTATCAGTTTGGTGAACTACTTGATGGTAGATATGAAATCCTGGGTACTCATGGAAAAGGTGTATTCTCTACCGTGGTGCGTGCAAAAGACACAAAAGCTGAACTAGCTGAACCTGAAGAAGTGGCTATAAAAATTATTCGGAGCAATGAGACAATGTAAGGGGTGCTCTGTAGGCCCTGTGACAAATTTCTTATCTGGTGATGTCTGATTTATTGTCCTAAGACCTGTTTGTGGCTCACTATCATATCACGTTTTGTCTAGGCATAAAGCCGGCCAGACTGAGGTTCAGATATTGAAGAAGCTAGCTGGCTCAGACCCAGAGAATAAGCGGCACTGTGTTCGTTTTCTTTCAAGTTTCAAGTATAGGAATCACCTTTGCTTGGTGTTTGAGTCTCTTCATCTGAATCTCCGTGAGGTTTTGAAGAAGTTTGGTCGCAACATTGGTCTTAAACTCTCTGCTGTTAGAGTGTATGCAATGCAGTTATTCATATCCCTTAAACATCTCAGGAACTGTGGGGTTCTTCACTGCGATATAAAACCCGACAACATGCTGGTAGGCTATATACTTGTCTGTGTGTTACCTCCTGCTTGATGCACTAATTTCTAACTTCTGATCGTTCCTTGATTTTCCAGGTGAATGGAGACAACAACGTGTTAAAGCTTTGTGACTTTGGTAGTGCAATGTTTGCTGGTAAAAACGAAGTGACTCCATATCTTGCTAGTCGCTTCTACAGAGCTCCAGAAATCAGTAAGTTCCACTGGTGCTGTTGTTTATCATCTATTTGGATAGTTACAGGATATTTCGTGGCTTGCTGTTTATATATAACTGAAGCTTGTACTCTTTTTCATTGTAGTTCTTGGACTTTCTTATGACCATCCTTTAGATATCTGGTCAGTTGGTTGCTGTCTGTATGAGCTTTATAGTGGGAAAGTTCTTTTCCCTGGCTCCACAAACAATGATATGTTACGCCTTCATATGGAACTGAAAGGTCCCTTTCCCAAAAAGATGCTTCGCAAGGTAAGCCTTAAATGTAACTTCTCGAATGAATCTTGTCTTACGCAATTAATAAAAGAAGCTCAACGTGCAGGCTGGAGATTTAGTTTTTTAGAATGCATTTGAGTCAGCAGCGTTTTAGTTTTGTTCTGATAATTGTTCTGTTTAACAGGGAGCATTTATTGACCAGCACTTCGACCAGGACCTGAATTTCTATGCTACGGAGGAGGACAGTAGTACTGGAAAGGTAACAAATCATTCCTTATAGTGTCTATAACTATTTAATTTGGATTATCCTGAATTAAGGGTTTGTTATTGGTGGTTATCTTTCAGGCAATAAAGAGAATGATGGTAAACATACAGGCAAAAGATTTTGGTTCAGTTATCAAAGGTTATTCGGGTGAGGATCCCAAGGTGTTAGTTCATTTCAGGGATCTTCTGGACAAAATTTTCATACTTGATCCTCAAAAGAGACTTACAGTGTCACAAGCATTAGCTCACCCATTCATCACGGGCAAGTGAACCTCATAATGCTGTTTTCCTAGATACATGTATATTACACATTTTGATTTGATTTAAGATTCTGATCTTCGGATATTCTGTATCTTCTCTCTGCTACCTGAGAGCTTTAAATACAATCCGACGTGGGTGAAATGGAATAATTTCAGAGGAAATTCTCTTCTTCTTTTTTGTGTGTTTCCAATCTGTATTAAATATTATGCAGTCTGCTAGCTTTCTCAGTATTGAGTAGTCTTTTATTTATAAGTTGCATCTGATCTGATATATGATATTGTCATTCCGGAGGTATCTGCTTCGAGGCGTGGCCGGCACAAGAAAAAATAAGAAGGTATGTTGATTTATTCGTTGTTTTTTTCTTGCTTTCATGAAGTATACACTTTATTCATTCACTGATCCTATTTTTGTCTTAAACTATCATAGGGTGTTCATTCCCTTGCTTTTCGTTGAAACCGGTAAGTATACAGATCCTAGTGTTTTATTTACGTGCTTCTCTGCTGCATTTGCGTTGTCACCTGTGTCATTCGTCATTTTGAGTAGGTGCGAATGAATGATTGTTGGTCTAGAGACAAGTATAGGGTTTTGTTTAGGCTGTTTTGTCTATCAATTGTGGGTATCCTTTCTTTGTTGTATGCTTAATGCATGAGAATAGTTTGGTTTAGTAGTTAAATCGTTTTTTTTTTTAGGTTAGAAGAAAGGGAAAATGTTGGTTCCTTTTTAACCATTGTTTGAAGGTGGATTCACTTGTGTTTGCACAAAAGATTAGACGCATTAGAAGTTTGTTTTGTAGAAAACTATGATTACAAAATATTTAAAATGTGTTTGGTTTGCGTGAGTGTGATGATGATGAGTGGGTGAATTATGACTAGAAGAAAAGATTTGTGAAACATGTGGAGTTTTTCTTTATAATTTAAGATTTAATCAGCTCTTTCTCCTTTGACCAC